AATGTCCAATTTGTCCTTGAGACTTCTTACATTTAGGTGTGTACTGACTCGATTAGTTACAGACTGCCGCCATATAGCTGGAATATTGCTGAGTGCGGCGTAAAACTAAACTCACTCAAATCTATAAACAACTGTGGCCGAACTTTTAAATAAAACTGTTAACTACAATGCGAGTTCAATATGTCCATACCAAAACATCAATAGAGTCATTTCCACTAAAGCTCGTCACGATATGGCTGAAATATTGAGATGTGACGTTAAATATTAAACTCACTCACTCACTACACTAACCCAGCGGAGTCTGGTTTGGTTGGTTTGTTGCTTCACGCCACACTCAGCAATATTCCAGCTATATGGCGGCGGTGTGTAAATAATCGCCCAAACCAACACAACTTCGCAACAGTACACACATGCTTATCAAAACACTAAAAAACAACACTGGGGAAGTTCGCCAGCACTCTAAACACAACGGATAGCAATTCTAAAGTCACGTGGAGCAAACTAAAGCAACATACGTACCCACAAAATCAACACACATCCATAAAATAGACGACTATATAAAGCCATGACAAATTAAAAGCACAAGCATTAGCCCAGCACTAGAAAAAAACAGAAGTTGTAATCATTCTGCTTCGCTCCAGCAGAAAATACTCACTACACCAGCTTACATCATACAGCCGCCCCAAGGCCATCTACCCGACAATGCACCCTAACAATACACGAACTGACACAGACTCTCAAAAGCAAAACCACCTAGACTGTTCCAGGACATGCCACAATTTAAATATCACTAAACAACTTCACTATACACTGTACAACGCTATTACTATGTATTGGTATGTGTTTACATACAGAATCGTACAGATCCATAACACTCGCATCAAGTCATGGAAACAATAATAATAAAACACGTCATCATCACCTAAACACAAACAATCTTCACACCAAACAAAACAACCCTAGATCACATCATTCTAGTTCATTACACCTATAACCCCCTGCCTCCTTGTACGGACACTGTTCTAACAACATCACAAGAATAACACCAAACAAAACAACCCTAGATCACATCATTCTAGTTCATTACACCTATCACCCCCGCCTCCTTGTACGGGACACTGTTCTACACAAACATCACAAGAATAACACCAAACAAAACAACCCTAGATCCACATCATTCTAGTTCATTACACCTATCACCCCGCCTCCTTGTACGGACACTGTTCTAACAACATCACAAACAATAACACCAAACAAAACAACCCTAGATCACATCATTCTAGTGCATTACACCTATCACCCCCGCCTCCTCGTACGGACACTGTTCTAACAAACATCACAAGAATAACACCAAACAAAACAACCCTAGATCACATCATTCTAGTTCATTACACCTATCACCCCCGCCTCCTTGTACGGACACTGTTCTAACAAACATCACAAGAATAACACCAAACAAAACAACCCTAGATCACATCATTCTAGTTCATTACACCTATCACCCCCGCCTCCTCGTACGGACACTGTTCTAACAAACATCACAAGAATAACACCAAACAAAACAACCCTAGATCACATCATTCTAGTTCATTACACCTATCACCCCCGCCTCCTTGTACGGACACTGTTCTAACAAACATAACAAGAATAACACCAAACAAAACAACCCTAGATCACATCATTCTAGTTCATTACACCTATCACCCCCCGCCTCCTCGTACGGACACTGTTCTAACAAACATCACAAGAATAACACCAAACAAAACAACCCTAGATCACATCATTCTAGTTCATTACACCTATCACCCCCGCCTCCTTGTACGGACACTGTTCTAACAAACATCACAAGAATAACACCAAACAAAACAACCCTAGATCACATCATTCTAGTTCATTACACCTATCACCCCCGCCTCCTTGTACGGACACTGTTCTAACAAACATCACAAGAATAACACCAAACAAAACAACCCTAGATCACATCATTCTAGTTCATTACACCTATCACCCCCCGCCTCCTTGTACGGACACTGTTCTAACAAACATCACAAGAATAACACCAAACAAAACAACCCTAGATCACATCATTCTAGTTCATTACACCTATCACCCCCGCCTCCTCGTACGGACACTGTTCTAACAAACATCACAAGAATAACAACAAACAAAACAACCCTAGATCACATCATTCTAGTGCATTACACCTATCACCCCCGCCTCCTTGTACGGACACTGTTCTAACAAACATCACAAGAATAACAACAAACAAAACACAACAACAAAATACTGGCCGTGGATTACAGACAACAGCACTGACCAGACTACACACACATCTACACTGACGGATCACACAACCCCATCAACCACACAGTAGACTTGCAATACACAAAACACTACCAGACATAGCTACAACAACAGCACTGACCAGGACTACACACACATCTACACTGACGGATCACACAACCCCATCAACCATACAGTAGACTTGCAATACACAAACCATTACCAGACATAACTACAACATCAGCACTCATCCCTACAACCTTTCTGTATATGCCGCAGAAACATGCGACAATATATCTAGACTTCAAAATGGCACAAACCACTAAATATTACAAGCTTCTAATCATCTGTCGTAGGCACTTTGATCGGGTATGGGTTTTATCGGGAAATATAGACATGTTTGTATATTCTCTGAGTTAAGTTAAAGTCGTGTTATCTAAATCTAAATCACAGTGCTGACAATATACATGAAATATCAGCAGCTTATTATCATGGCCATCAGCACAGCCATGTACAGATCCGCTGCCTGCGTGTAATTAACTGTAATGAACCTTAGAGTATGGCCGGTTGGCCACGGAAGTTTAACATTGTGGATGAGGTGCATGCTGGATACTGCAGGTTGATTCATACATGTATCGTAATACGATACAGGGCAGCCTGACAGTCAGTAGTATATAGACAATGAATTCTTAATGTAACGGGACTTGACCCTCGGACAGCGGCTAGGCAGGTTTGGCTGACGATCGCCTCTGTGATGCTGCCGTGCCGTTGCTGCATTATCATGTAATTACATACTTAGCCTGAATAAAGTGTTGTGGACCCACTGATGGACTTCTGTATTTGAAGAGACAGATATCCCCAAAAACGCTTTAACCAGCCCGGGATACATCACACATTCGCTGAGTGCATTACAAACCATTAAAATGACACACAAACAGGCCACATCTACTACATGGAATACTGCAGCCAAACAACACACTACAAATGAAAATATACAATATAGTACCCTCTCAGACTTACGCATCACGGGAAACGAAAACGCAGACCAAGCGTCCAGACAAGCTAAAACAACCCATGCATTAATTACCCACTTACATACAGGAAAATGGAATAACAATCTGTAATACTTCTCGTGCCACGTGAACATATAAAACAATCAAACAAACACATCTCTTCAGTCAATCTCAGTCTACACTGAATAGATTGTATGTGGAATCACAAAATGGACCACATGTCAAGCCCCTCAAACGATTTTACACCTGTACACTCTTCTCATTATAAAACAATTCAGTACAACACGCTAGGAGTAATGATTGTATGTCAGTGATGTACTGATTGTATGTCAGTGATGTACTGATTGTATGTCGGTGATGTACTGGTTGTATGTCAGTGATGTACTGATTGTATGTCAGTGATGTACTGATTGTATGTCGGTGATGTACTGATTGTATGTCAGTGATGTACTGATTGTATGTCAGTGGTGATGTACTGATTGTATGTCAGTGATGTACTGATTGTATGTCAGTGATGTACTGATGGTATGTCAGTGATGTACTGATTGTATGTCAGTGATTTACTGATGTTATGTCCTTGATGTACTTGATTGTATGTCAGTGATGTACTGATGTTATGTCCTTGATGTAATTGATTGTATGTCAGTGATGTACTGATTGTATGTCAGTGATGTACTGATTGTATGTCCGTGATGTACTGATTGTATGTCAGTTATGTGCTGATTGTATGTCAGTGATGTACTGGTTGTATGTCAGTGATGTACTGATTGTGTGTCAGTGATGTACTGATTGTATGTCAGTGATGTACTGATTGTATGTCAGTGATGTACTGATTGTATGTCAGTGATGTACTGATTGTATGTCCGTGATGTACTGATTGTATGTCCGTGATGTACTGATGGTATGTCAGTGATGTACTGATTGTATGTCAGTGATTTTACTGATGTTATGTCCTTGATGTACTGGATTGTATGTCAGTGATGTACTGATGTTATGTCCTTGATGTACTGATTGTATGTCAGTGATGTACTGATTGTATGTCAGTGATGTACTGATTGTATGTCCGTGATGTACTGATTGTATGTCAGTTATGTGCTGATTGTATGTCAGTGATGTGCTGATGTTAAGTCCGTGATGTACTGATTGTATGTGCGTGATGGAAGGAACTTGCGTGTTCGATCTGTATACATCACTTGATTGTCTGGTTGAGCCTTCATTACTTACAAGGGACACACCATATAGCTGCAACTGAGGTAATAACCAACAAACACATAGACTATATATAAATTCTGTCATGTCTTTTTGCTTTGAAATAAGTACACTACAGAGGTGGAGCGAGGTGAATGAAGTTGTCACGTGCATGTCATTGCTGCCTATATTAGGCATTATTTGATTGGGAAATATTTGCTTTAAAAAGGTGTAACTTAGTCAAATAATAATTCTGTGGCACACTTCAATATCCATGAATGATTGTTGTGATCGCACCTTTATAAATGTCTGCATAATACTTGGACATGCTTTGGAACTCCTTTTGGCGTTTTAATGAGTGAGTGAGTTTAGTTTTACGCCGCACTCAGCAATATTCCAGCTTTATGGCGGCAGTCTGTAAATAATCGAGTCTGCACCATACAGTCCAGTGATCAACAGCATGAACACCGGTCTGCGCACCAATTGGGAACCGATGACATGTGTCAACCAAGTCAGTCAGTGGCTGTGGCGGCCTGTGGCTGTGGTTGTGGCACTGGCGGCCTGTGGTTGTGGCTGTGGTTGTGGTTGTGGCTGGCACTGGCGGCCCTGTGGCTGTGACTGTGGCGGCCTGTGGTTGTGGTTGTGGCACTGGCGGCCTGTGGTTGTGGCTGTGGTTGTGGTTGTGGCTGTGGCACTGGCGGCCTGTGGCTGCTGCTGTGGCTGTGGCTGTGGCGGCCTGTGGCTGTGGCTGTGGTGGGTGGCAGTGGCGGCCTGTGGCTGTGGCTGTGGTGGTGGCAGTGGCGGCCTGTGGCTGTGGCAGTGGCGGCCTGATGATGTGGGGCTGCTTTTACTGATTAGGTCGGAGTTGTTTTACGGCTGAACGGGCGTGGGTGTTTTGCTTTTGAAACCGTAGTTTAAAAACTAATGTACGTTATGGCCACGGTCAAGTGACCCCACATATATTATTGTTAGTGAAGCATTACAGTGTTTAGTAAATACTTCAAAGGTGGTGAATACACCCTAAAACAGTACATATACGTCAATGCTTGGGGTGTGTCAGCGACGTTATGGCCACGGTCAAGTGACCCCACATATATTATTGTTAGTGAAGCATTACAGTGTTTAGTAAATACTTCAAAGGTGAATACACCCTAAAACAGTACATATACGTCAATGCTTGGGGTGTGTCAGCGACGTTATGGCCACGGTCAAGGACCCCACATATATTATTGTTAGTGAAGCATTACAGTGTTTAGTAAATACTTCAAAGGTGAATACACCCTAAAACAGTACATATACGTCAATGCTTGGTGTGTGTCAGCGACGTTATGGCCACGGTCAAGTGACCCCACATATATTATTGTTAGTGAAGCATTACAGTGTTTAGTAAATACTTCAAAGGTATATCGGTGGGAATGTGAATACACCCTAAAACACCCAGTACATATACGTCAATGCCGGTGGGAGGGTGTGTCAGTGGGTACTGTGAATACACCCTCTTCTGCTCATATTCCGAGCTTATGTTTGCTTTACAAACAGTACATATCCGGAAAATGCATTGGGCAGGATTGAACAATCCTTGATATTTTTGGAAACATATAAAATATCTTGATTTATGCTTCATCTCCACCACCGTCGCTGCATAAAACAAACCCTTTTCTTTCTGGTTTTGGTCTGAATGTACATTTTTCTAATATTCGGAATGTACACGGGGGCACATCGTCACAACATGATATACGATGCAAGTTGGTCAAATTCATGTTAATGTGTGTAAGGTATGGTGAGGGGTCGGGGTCGGGTGGGGTCGGGGTCGGTGTCGTGCCTCTGGGGTCCATTTCCTCCCACGGTAGCCAGTGTTGGGATACCTGTAACCCGGCCATAGTTATCTCACATATTGCCGTTCTGGGACTTGGGGAGACGTCCAGACGTTACCCTGTCGTTTACATGTGGGGCAAGGAGTGAGGCGTCGGATATCCCTAATTCCAAGGGGTCGATTTTCATAACTTACAGGTTGACAATATCATCGTATCTCGATTGAGTAGATCGATGCTCATTCACTGTATTGTCTGGTCCAGACTCTACTATTTACACACCGCCGCTATACAGCTGGAATATTGCTGAGTTCGGCTGATCACTGTATTGTCTGGTCCAGACTCTACTATTTACACACCGCCGCTATACAGCTGGAATATTGCTGGAGTTCGGCTGATCACTGTATTGTCTGGTCCAGACTCTACTATTTACACACAGCCGCTATACAGCTGGAATATTGCTGAGTTCGGCTGATCACTGTATTGTCTGGTCCAGACTCTACTATTTACACACCGCCGCTATACAGCTGGAATATTGCTGAGTTCGGCGTTAAACAACATAGAAACAACCAACCATCCAACCCTAATTCCGAAGTATTAACGCCTCATTCGTGGACTGGCGCAATCAAGGAACAACCCAGCACAGATTCTATACTCTCAACAGTAGATCAATGTTTGTTTTCATTACAAGCAGCTATAGCATCCATCATGAAATAACCGTCTTTCTCAATAATGTTAATTACACTTTTCTTATGTTTCGGGGATGCATTGTTTACCTAAAACAGCAGTGTAGGCTGAAGGTTCCTATTCAGGAAATGTAGAATGAGTGAGTTTAGTTTTACGCCGCTTTTAGCAATATTACGGCGGGGTACACCAGGAATGGGCTTCACACATTATACTCATGTGAAAAATCGAACCCGGGTCTTCTACGTGACGAGCAAACGCTTTAACCATTAGGCTACTCCACCGCCCTGGAATTGTGAGGGTTCCAGAGGGTCATGTGTCATGCATGCAAAGCCGGTGGTAACACGTGCCACAATAACATTACAGATGTTATACCTTAATATTACACATGTATCAGCTTGGGGTTAGCGTTCCAATACACTAGGGTGATGAAGTTAACGCTGCCAAATACGAGGGTTATAGGCGTTAGGGTTGGCGTAAGCGTTCCCATATTCGAGGGTTAGGGGAGTGTTCCGTTCCTATATACGAGGGTTAGGGGTTTGCAGACCATACGTGGTACTGCAAGCTCGACCTGGACACCCGCCCCGCCCCGCCCCGCCACTGTCATTCCCCGTGTTCCACATGTTGCCCTCCGTCCACTCATGGCTTTACCCCAGTTCAGCTCCACACCCTACTAGTGGTGTGACCATTCATCGATACCCATCGATGCATCAATCCATGGGCCGCCGATACAGTGAATCGAAGCAAAGTTTTACATTGTCGTATATCCCGATACGATACTTTAAAGGGCCACGATACAACGATGTTTAGCTTTGAATATTGCCGAATCGCGATATCTGTCAACCAAAAAGACTTACTTTTGTTTCATGATCAAAATATATGCTTACTTATTTTCCCTTCATAAGTAAACGTTTTCTCGGAAATTCTTGCTTCAAAACTGTGTCAGACATAGCTCTCGCATGTTATTCACATTCACAAAGTCCGTGTATAAACTTAATTATCTCTGTTTCTGAATGACATTGAAAACGCTGGAGGAATTTGACGAAATATTTTAACATAGGTTTTGTTTTGATCTTAAGGTGTTTTATAGTTGGTGTTAGAATTAAAGATTTTAGTATCGTGATATATGGTAACACTTGTTGTGCACTGCCAATACCAGCACAGCCTGGAGCACGCTACAGCTCCCGTCACAGCCTGGAGCCTCAAGAACACCTCTGTGACCACCCTGCCTTGGCCTGCCATGAGACCACATCTTTGGCCTGGTACTAACCAAGCCAGGCACTGGAGCCTGATGTAAAGAACATGCATGGCAGCAGCAGCAGGAACGGCGCGAAGATCCAAAATCAGTAACCCTCCCATATGGAGAGTGAGTGAGTGAGTGAGCTTTACCTCCAGGCTATCCATGGTGATGACAGGTTAGATGGAGGCGAATTACCAGTACATGGAGGGTTGGCCACTAAATCGTTGATGGACTGACGGTGAAATCTAACTGCCCCAAGAAGTGACACATTTATGTTAATAGAGCTACCTGGAACAAATTCCCTAGTCCCATATAAAACACATTTCATTGTATATTATATATCATGCCATGCCAGTCAGCTGACAATAACGGTGGTGGTTGAATAATCTGGTCTCTTCCAGCAATGGACACCGCCTGTAAATGTATAGGTCAGTCTTGATACGATGGCAAATATCTGCCTGCTTTGGCGCTTTTGTAGCCAGACTAACTCTATCACCGTCTTGCTACTGTCATATTAATGTTCTACCTATTCGATCAAGACATCTTCTTATATGCAAGAGTGCTCTAAGTTCTCTGGTCGCAAATACGATACAGCGCCTAAATATCTAAATCTGCCTGATACAACAATATATATATATATATCAACCAGGGACCACTTTGTAGGACACGGGAACCAAGTACTGACTTTACTGTTGTCTAATTGTCTATGGAACGTCGTGGCCACGATCACGTCACACCACTGATTATTGTTTATAACTTAGGATTAGAGCTGTTGTACAGTAAGTCAACCAGATGTATTTCTGTGGGAATATGGATACACACACCTAAGATAACCATCTTAGTACAGAGTACAGAGGCCATGACGTCGGCACTGCCAGTTATCACGCCGCCAACAGGACCAATCTTGACGCTGTGTCAGCTGCGAGAGAGAGACGTTTCATCTTGAGGCCTGTACCGAGCGGAGCACGTTGTATCTTAAAGCGTTTTTTGGCGTGTTTGTATTTTTTTGTCTTATTCCACAGACAGGTATTTTGTCATAATGTTAGCCTAACGGTTCGATTTATGTTACCTGTATGGAACTTGTTGCAATGTTATAACATTCTCGAAACCATTGCATCACCTGAATTTATACGTCAGGTCAAAATGTCTGCGATAAAATAATTCTGAAAATGTACAAATTCAAATGAAGAAAAAAACAAAACAACATTTACGGAACGTTTCTCGAAGTAGATAATTTCTAATTTTCAAAACATTTTCGTTTAGTCCAGGTGATTTTCACTGATTGTGTTTCGTTTCAGGCCAAATCTTCTTTTCCTGGTTTACTCCATTTTCACATGATGTGGTCGTTAGGATAGAACGAAAGTCAATATGGGTAATGAAGTTAAATGTACAAGAACAGTACGACTTGGTTTGTGTGTATGAGTTCGTTCGCGCTTACGTGCGTGCGTGCGTGCGTGCGTGTGTTTTAGCGCCGCACTCTGCAATATCACAGCAAAATGATGGCGGTTTGAAAATAATATAGTCTGGGCCACACAATCCAGTGATTCACTCCATACGCATTACTCTACGCAACTAGTATACCATGAAATGCATCAACCAAGGTATCTGACCACCCGATCCCGTGAGTCTACTCTTAATACATGTATGTATTTGGATACCAGTTGTAGCCCCACATTCACGGCAGTGCATAGTACTCCATACAATCAGTGTAGAGGGTGCGCATATAACGGCTGGCGTGTTGGTAGCGAGGAAGACAATTGCCTTTTCCGCTTTTTGAAAAATGTCAGAGAAGTAAAGTGAATTGTTATTCTTGCCTCGACTCGCAAGTGTTGCAGGAATGCCGAATGCCTGTACTGAAACGTGAATGCCAGTAAAGCGTACACGAACTACCAGCGACTTCGTCTTCGTTTCAGAAAAGTCTCCTAATTGAGTCTCTCAGATTTGTACATGATGGTATGGTATGGTATGGTGTGGTATGGTGGTATGGTATGGTATGGTATGGTATGGTATGGTGTGGTATGGTGTGGTATGGTATGGTATGGTGTGGGTGTGGTATGGTGTGGTATGGTGTGGTATGGTATGGTGTGGTGTG